CTCCACTTGCACATGAAGGGTCAGTGTGGCCCTTTTCACCGAGTGAGTTATTGCTCCATGTGGATGGACATCTCCTAGTCGTGTGTGCGATTTGGGCTCTTGAGAATAGTCACAAAAGAGTTTAGCTTTCCCCTTCCCTGGTTTCCACCATCTCCCTTAATAAAGATTCCTTGGTTACCTTTCTATGGCTGATTAATGTGTCAGGTGGTTAATGAATTTCCTCTGACACATCAGTGGGACTAAACCATGGTGAAATACATCCTTCCCCTCCTATTATTGCATTCCACTGCTCCCCACAAAGGAAGTACAAGAGAGGTTATCTCACTAGAAGCTCTGCCTGTATTTCTGGCTGTTTCCAATTACCTTGCTCTAGGGTACGTGTCTGTGGTGAGCTGGAGTGGCAAAAGTTCTTTAAGGAAAGATGCTGAAAGTGCATCTAAAACACTCTGGGAGGAGCACGGGCAGCTGGATGAGAATTTACCCTTAGTCTTGTGGGTCAGTGGGTGCCACTTGAACATGGCTACAATTCTGTCAAGTAATCCTGCAAGGCTTTTCTCTGAAAAGTTCACTAAATTTTTTAGGGGATGCCTGGCTTTAAACAGATGAGAATTTGCACACAGAAATAATGCATGTGCCTTAATTACTTTCAACAGCTATGCCAACACGAGTGTGACTGCAGTGCCTATGGCTGGATGTGCTTGCTGGCTTTAACCTGCTAACTGTGAGACCTTGCTGCCTTAATTTGGCAGAATGCTGAGCAGGAGGATGCAGTTTGCTCGATGCCAGGTCTGAGTGCTGCTTGATCTGGCTGAAAACTGATTCTCCCTCTTCTCTTCCCCACTGCCCCCTCCCTCGCTCCCTGCCTGGTAAGTGGATTAATTTGCAGCCCCGGCAGCTCCCTGGCTCGGCTCTGGGCACACACTGTGCAGCCTGCACAGGCAGGTGGGGAGAGGAGAGGTCAGAACACCTCCCTGGCAGCAGTGAGATGGACTCATGCAGGAATAAAGCAACCCTGGGACTGTGGCCCACCTGATGTGTGTAGTTAATTATAAAGATGTTGTAGTATTTGCAGGTACAAATCTGCCAAGGACTGTCCCCGGTGGGTCTGAATGTTCCTGCCCAACCTGTGCCATCAAAGCTTTCCCCCTGCTGATACTTGTGCTAACTTCTTTCACATGCCAGACAGTATGAGGACTGTTTATTTGCTGTGTTAAAGCATGGAATTTTGGTTGAGGTGAGAATGGTTGTATTAAGGTTCAGTACAAATGTACTGGGGAACGTGGTTTCTGTGAGGAGCAAGAATCTCACAGTGAGTACTGTGCTGATCAAAAAGCTATCAGCCTGGATTTGCTGGTACAATTATGGGCAATTTTTATTGCAAGGAGAGTTATTTAAAATTTAAATAGAGTTGACACCGTGTTCTTTTGACCTAATTCCCAGACTTTTGTATCATTACTGAAATGATGTGGGGTATTATAACACAGTGCACTGCAGAATGGCACTCCTAGGAAAGATTGATATGCACTGGGGTTTGAATAGGAAATGAAGTGTGGCTGATTCTGAGGTAAAGCTGTGATCTTCACATGGGAAGGATTGGATGTGTAGCTCCTTGGGTGGAAAGCCACAGCTGTAGCTTGACACTAACCCTTCTGAAAAGTGAAAAACCATGGTACCTCTTACTGTTGGTTGTTTCATGAGTCTAGGAGATGATGTTTCCATTCCTTTCAGTAATTCTGCTAGTTTGCATATCACTTGATGCCCAGTTTGCATTAACACAAGTTGACTTTATTTTGGCAGGAAAAAGTCATCAAGCCCTTGTGGAATATTTCAGACTTTCACCACCAAATTCGGTTTACTACATTCTTCCTTGTAGACAGCTCGCTCCCGTGACAACCCTGTGTCAGATGATGCATGTACAGACCCTGTTTCCCATAACTTTGTCCTTGGGATGACACCAGTGGCATTTTTCTCATGATCTCTTGAAAAAAACACATGAAGAAAACCAGTTGGGCTGATTTTAAAGTGCAAATTGTCATTTGGAAAGCACCCTGCCTTAGTATGAGTTTCACTTATTTAGGAATATTATGAGCAATAGAAAAAACATTCAAAACAAAATAATGAAGTGAGAGTTGTGGTTTTAACCCAGCTTCTGGTTAGGAACAGAGTAAGAGTCAGTCCTCACTTGCTTTTACCCAAGTACCATCCAGATGCACCAGTCTGACTGAACTGCCCTCACAGCCCACCTTGGGGGTACAGGCATTGTCCAGGTGTTGCATATATTTGTATAAATTGTAGTGAGGACAAAGTGATCAGGAAGAAGTGCAGAGCATTTTATCTTGCTGTATCTGTGTATGAATGCAGAATTCCTGATGCCTTGCACTGGAAAATGAAGCTCCAGGGTAGATGTGTGTCCTGTAGGACTGTTAATACCCACTCCAGCCTTATCTGCTGTGCTCACATCCAGATGTTGGAAAGCAGAGGTGTATCTCCAGTAAAGAATTAGCTTGTGTTTATCCTGAGATAGTTCTCCCACAAACCCCAACCCCCCCAAAAAACGTGTAGCCTTGGCTATAGTAAGCTAACAACAGGCTATCAGGGTTTCATTTCAGCCCGACTTGGCAGTCCATGGGCCTTGCTCTCCAAAGACAGGGCCAGCCAAGCTGATAATATTTCACTGCCATGCCCCAATTACCCCTGAGTTAATACTGTTGCCTATTTATTTTTTTACACACTTCACAACACCTACAATGGCACGTTAATCCTGTGTTTGTCTGCTGTGTTTTGCTTTGCTGCAGTGTTTGGCCAGCAGTGCCGTGAGGAGTTGTGCCTCACACAGGTTTGCTGGAAGCAGATGTCAGCCTTCCAGTACAGTTGTGCTGGCTGACCTGCAGAACCTGTAACTGGGGGAAAATGGAGCTAAAGAAGCTGTTTAAAGCTTAGTGGACAGAACAGAAGAGCAAACATCAAGCAGACAAGAAGAAATTAATTCCATCTGCCGGAAGGTTTTGCTGCCAGATATTTTGGTATGATCTCTGTTAGCAATAAGTAACTCCATTTGGAAATTATTTTACACACAGAATTGTTGTCGTATTACTGTTTCAAACAGCAGCTCTTTGCTGGGGCACACAAATCCCACAAGCCTTCATGGATCAGCCAAATAAAAACATGGTATTTCCCCCAGGAAATCTATCCCAGCACGCAGAGCAGGAAAGCACTGCTGAGGATGCAGCTGCATATGCAGGGCTTTGCTCAGCCCACCCTCCCTCTGTGCTGGAATAGCTCAAGCTGTAAGTTTTTAGTAAAGACACATCCTTAATGCTTAGGCATCCTGTAATTTCTTCTGAAATGTTGAGACTTCTCCCAGATAGAGCTGTTTTGAAGATCTGCCACTGTCTTTACACACCTGAATGTCTGCTGGATTTTTCTGATAGTTTGGCTTGTTTAACTTCTTTAACAACTCGTGGCTGCTTCTGCCCAGTTATTTTCCATGAGCTTCAAGTCTCTCTCTGCATGCAGAACACAGAGAAAATTTGACAGCTGTGTTTCATTCCCTTTCACATCAGTGTTTCACCAGGCACAGGTTTAGTGAAATCTTTGCCACGGGATCTGAAAATTTTATTGCTTCAATTTTTTTAGCTCCCAGGTTGCATTGTAAGTGCAAAGCTGGTCTGTTCAGAGCACAGGCAGAAATGGTCCTACATTGTTGTCTGGTGGGAGAGTTTTGTGTGTGTGATTGTTTTGGGGTTTTCCTCTTCTAATTCCTTTAAACAAACTGAGGATAAAGGTTGCAGGACTCAGGTACTGCTACAGCTGTATGAAATGTCATCTTGGGAGACAAATTTGTGTGATAAATTTGTAGAAAAAGTATCACACTTAAATTACCTTAAGTCAACCATGCTTTGGGAGGAGGATGGTGAAATATTGCCTGCCAGTATTTTTATTTTCATCGTCATTCCTGTAAGGAAAAGTTCAATGCCTTTTTTTTGACCAATTTGCTTTTACTCCTGAGGACAGATGAAGATATTTTATTCAGGCATCAAATTAATCGCTTCTATGCAGAAGACATTTGATCAAAGTGTGGTTATATTTCTTTTAATTTTACTTCTTTACCATCTGTAAAACGCTATAGTCGTGTGCTGCCTGTCTGATTTATCAGTGTCTTGTGGGAAATCAGTAACGAGCCTTTCCTCTAACCTGAGGGATTTGGGCAGTTCCAATTACATAGTGAACCTGGGAGAAATGGATTTGCCTGCACTTGGTGCTGCAGAACTTGACAATGGTTTGATTCTGGCTTTGCTAATATGGAAATCTTTGCCAGTGCTCTCAGTGTCTAAAAATTTCCCTGTTTCCACGTGGTTATTTCCTGCCCTGGGTGAGGTAGGCTATTTTATTTCTTCTGGTTTATAATTTCTAGTAGCCAAGAGAGTTATTACAAAAAAAAAAAACACCAAAAAGCAAACGTGCTAGGGAAAAGAAAATGTGTCCTAAATGCTTGTTTTGTTGGTTTTGGTGTGGCATTCCGGAATACCTGGTGGATTCCTGGTTCTCTGGAGGTACAGCTTCACATGCAGATGGATCTATAGTAGCCCCTTTGTTATCATTCCCTGCCTGGTTAACAAACCGTATTTGCTCACAGTTTATCACCTCCAACGTGGGTGTATGTGGTGTCTCTGTTAGCCTGGCTTCGCTGGGATGGAGGATCTGTGATGCAGCAGGGAATTTGGCATCCTCTGAATGCCATGTTGTGGTGCTGGCACAACGTGTGAATGATTTCCCCCTTTTGTCTGGCAGTTAATGATCATTTCAGCTGTTGGGCTGGAGCCGCAGCAGGGCCGGGGCGCCGGCTTTGCGTGCGCGATTATCTGTACGTGCCGCAGATGGAAATTGGACATCTAATTACTTTATAAGATTTGTGAACAGAGATTTAGAGCCTGCTTAGCCTCTGCTTGAAAAGTGCTTTCTGTGTGATTTCAAGTCTCGCTTCTCTCTCTCCTCCCCAGGTCCTTTCACAGATGTTGTCACTACAAACCTGAAGCTCGGCAACCCCACAGACAGAAATGTTTGCTTCAAAGTTAAGACCACAGCACCACGTAGATACTGTGTAAGGCCCAACAGTGGAATTATCGATGCAGGAACATCAATTAATGTTTCTGGTAAGCCATTCAAGCAGTTTTTTGGTGATTTGAAAGTAGCTTCTTTTAATCAATTGCTGGGAATGCTTTGCAGCCTGAAGGTATTTTGTTGAACCCAATAAGTCGTGTTTTCCTGGAGAAGCAGCCATTTCACATAGCCTGACTTCCCTTATTCCTGGTCTAGCAGCAGTAGGCTTGGTTTTACATCATGTTTTGGAGAGGAAAAGGACAGAAATACATAAATGATTGATATGGCTCATTAAGAGCCTCAGCCAGCCTATCCAAAGCAGTGCTGCTGCAGCCCTGCCCTCCCTGTGGGATTATTTTTGTAGTTAGTTTTTTGCCAGCTTAACTTCCTGAACCAGCTCACCATGGGGTCAAACAAGTGCTTGGGTGAGCACATCAGGGGAAGAATAAATCTGGGTGGACTGCAGCCACTGGTTTAGACTGGTGTTGGCTGTTGCCAAACTGTCTTTGATATAACCAACAATGAAAACGTTTACTTTCAATCCATGTTTGTGTTCCCTGAAGATTCAGTATCCTTTGGTGTTAAAAATGTCAAATGACTAAATCTTTGCTGTTCCATAGGAAAAGTTAATGATTTTCTCTAATGAGTCAGTAGCTCTTGACTTGCCTAAGTTTGGTAATGGAAAAAACAAAGGAGTGACTTACTTTGAAAGCATAAAGAGCTGAGTATTCCCATGAACAGAATGTCTGCATATTATTAACTCACTGATGATACATGCCTGAAAACAGTATTTTCTCAATGACTTCTCTCATCCATGTTTTTAATAAAGAATTCTACCAAAACACATAGTAGTAGCATATTGCATGAATGAGGTCTCACTTTTTAGGTAAGAAAATAATTTCTATAAATATGCAGATTTGCTTTGCTATTTTTAAAAGAATTTAATGTTTTCATGATAAGAAAAATTACTGATAGGTTATAGAGTTTGCTATTAGTGTCTTAGCAACCTTTCCTAGCCTGGAATAAAAAATTTGGGGAGCTAAACCCACTGCTTTTTACTTGAAAAAAAATCAACTTGTACAAATCAAGACTTCAGGTTTTTTACTTTATAAAATGTAAAACATTTTAACACCTCGCCCTTGGGGAGCTTGCTTCAACAAAATAAAAATTGCTCCCAAAAATACTTTGCACTGTAACATTAAGCAAGTCTAATCCTGTAGGTCTTCCTGGACATGCCCACATTTGCACACTCATTGATCTGTTGCCGTTGGGATTTCTGTGTCAAATTGAGCGTGCAAAGGGCTGCAGGATCGTGCCTCAATTGCACTGGGAGCTACAGGTGGGGCAGGCAAAGCACTTCTGCTTCAGGAGAAGGCCAGCACGTACCCAGTGAGCTCTGAAATGACTAATATGTAAATGAAAAAGCTCTCTAGAGAGAAATAGAGATTTTTAAAAGTCGGGACAATTCCCAAGTAAAGCTGTCTGTCATCTCTCCTAGCTGCAGGCAAGCATATCAAATGCATTGAAATCAATGAAATGATAATGAAAATTAGCATGGTTTCTAGCTACAAATTATCTTCATGCTATAAAGATGTGGTTGCTTTTAATCTTGCAGATGAACTTTCAGAATGAAAAGCCTGCTTCCTTTGCAGGCTCTTACCAGGCTTTTTAATGTCGTCTTGATCTCAGCGTTGAGTGTTTTCCTAAACCTCTGCTCACAGTGTCCCTTTGCTCCACCTTGAGCAAATACAGTACAGGAGGGTGTTTGTAGGAACCATCTCATGTTATGCTACCAGCAACTTGCCTTTGCAGCCTCACTCTTCCCAGTGGCACAGCAGATAGTGTGGATCTAGTCCAGGACTTAAAGTATCCCATTATGAGACTGCCATGCTAACCCCGAGCTGTGCTTTCCTCTTGCTTACATAGCTTTACAATTTTCCATTTCTGGTGACTTTATTTATAGTGATTTATGATTTGGTTAGTTTTGAAAATGGCTGTGGTGTATTTAATCACAAGCTCACATGTGTGTTCTAATATTTTCATGCTGATAATAATTTCAGTAATAAATGATGGTCCTAAATTGCCAGTCCTTTACATTAGCATTATATTTTAAAATGCAAACAGTACACATTCATTGTTCTTCAGGTAATATATTGAGGTAAATTTATAGGTAGATGTTACAGAATTTTGGGTTTACAAGTGTTAATTTTTATTTCCTACAACATTCTAAGCTGGAGTTTAATAGAGCTGTGTATATGGCAGATCTGGTAGGTCCTTTAAACCATGCATGGGACCTAAATTTGGACTTGAAGTTGGCAGTGTCTTTGGTTCTAATCAGCAGATGGGATCCCTTGGATAGGGATCAAAGAGGGGACTCCCGTTAACTTAGAGAACAAAATTGTTTTCAGGTTCACAGAGAGGGGGGAGACGTGTTTAACCTTTGCTTTGGAGTAATGTTGCTTGAGAACAGAGGAGTGATTTTGGAGTTAATGAAGTGAAAAATAAATAGAATTTGTTTCTTTGCCTCTGAATCAGTTATTTTTCAGTCATGTAATTTAAGTCTTGAACAGGGCATAAAAATAGGACTTGAATAAATAGGACTTGAATTCTTCCAGACCTAGTGAAAATACTACTGATGAGAAATTATTAGAATGTAGTTAATTCAGTAGTAACTTCTGGACACTTAAACTAATTGGGCTGTATTTACTATATGCAATCTGTCCTCTTGGAAATTGCTGACTGGCTTTACCAGAGTCACTGATTGCACTGGTTTGTCTCTCCAAAAAATCAGTGCCTGTGGTGGCATGAAGCTCTGGAATGATTTATTAGTTTCTCAGAATGTTACTGACTGCAGCTGAATTTGGGGCAGCCTCATCTCCTTGCAGGGTAGTAACCAGATGCCTTTGTTACACTCCTGTGAAACTAAATCTGTACTAATTTGATGTAAGTATATGAGAAGATATTCTGCCCTGAGACAGAGGCAGCAGTTTGAACATTATTCCACCTTATATGGTACTAATATAATGGCTCACAGAATGCTAGAAGAATAAAGCTTACTTTATTCTAGTGGAGTCTCAAATACTGGCTTCTTATGCCAAATCACAGCTTTTCCTAAATCCCAGCATTTCAGGCCCTGTCAGCATGTGCTGCTCGCTGTGGTGGCAGGTTTGGAGCCCGTGTTTTCACCTGTTATATAATGGCATGTAATTTTAACAGCTCAGTTTATGTAACTGTCGGGGAGCGTATGTGTGTGTGCTGTCAGCTGATGGCTCTGCATGTGCTCGGAAATGCTGGGCAAAGGAGGGCATTTGCACACATTGCCTTTTTGGTAGACACGTGGGATTTCTACAGAGATACCTGATTTTTTTTTCTGAGAGGTTGAAATCTAAATCATGAGTGGATTACAAAGGAAAAGTGGAAAAAACCCTCAGCAGATGCTGGTGAGGTGTGTGAGGGGGGAGAGAGGAAGTGCAGAAGGAACCATCTGTGACAGTGTCCTGCTGAAGAGAGCAGTCTGAACACGCTGCCTGAACACGGAGAGAAGCTGATGTTGGCCTTGGGTCGCTGTCGAATATCCTCGGGAGGAATTTGTACTCTTTTGTGAGCTTGCCTGACTTGGAAAAGGCAGCTGGCATTGCCTTCAGCAGGGATGGAGCTCAGCCCTGTGCTCTGCACTCACAGGGGGGCTGCCCCGTTCCCTCATCCACTGCTGCATTCCCAAACTTTCCCTCGGCAGCATCTCTGCTGTGCCTTCTTCCCATGGACCTCCCAGGACCCTGTAGCCACTACCAAGTTTTGGGTTGGTTGTGCCTCCTTGCTTTAAAAGACTCTGTCTTGGTCTTCACAAATTCAACATTTTTTAGTATTATGGAAATATTTACCGAAATTTTATGTTTGTTTATGTAAACATGGAACAAACATGGAGGGTGCCGTGGATTCTGCCCATTTCTGTAGTTGCAGTGTCCTTCCTCACCTCTGGCAGAGCTGATCAAATTGCACAATGAACTTGAGACTTGCCCCTGGTTGGGGTATTTTATGGAAAGGTGACCTAAATGTGGTAGATTTGATCCATCCAGACCATGAAGAATTGCATGCAGTGTCAGTTGGGAAAATGATCAGTAGAGCTGGAAAAGAAAAATAGATTCACAGAGTGTTGAACGAGCTGCTGGAGAGTGAACAGTGATGTGGTGGATGGAAATGTAATAGCAGGAAGTTACTAGTGACGTTTCTTGAGAATGATTCTTGGTACTAATCTTGTTTAACGCTTTTACAAGTAATTCTGGCACAAAGAGAGAGCACTAAAAACCCTGCTGATGATGTAAAGTTGGGAAGTTATGCAGAAGAACTAGGTGTCCTTGAAGGCTAAAGTGAGACAAACAAAGGATGAGTTTCATTAGAAAAAACTGCAAAATCACATACTTGGAGAATAAAGTACTCCTGCTGTAATTGCAAGCTTGTTAAACAGAGGGGCCTGACTGGGGTGAGCAAGATGCTGACATAATGTGGCTGTGAATAAGGCAAATGCAGTATCACACATCTACATTTGTAGGCAAATATGTAGCAAACAGGCTGATAATGGAAGAGAGAAGAGGGTAGAAATGCTGTTGTGCAAGGCACTAGTAGAATTTCCTGGGTGTATAATTAGAGTAGCTCATGTAGAGGAGTTTGTGCCAGAACAGGTGCAGAGAATGAATGGGGAGCCTGGCCCAGGGAGGACCCACTGAGTCTGGCTTACTGAGTGTGCCAGAAGGCCAAGAGTTGCTGTGATTGATGTCTTGGAGTGCACCAGAAGTAAATGACTCTTCCCCTTCTCTGATATTTAAGCAGAAGGGCAGTATTGGTCCAGGACCAAGTAAACAGGCCATTAATAAATTTAGATGGAAACTAGAGGAAGGTTGCTGACCATCTGAGCTGGGAGACTTTTCTGTTCCTTCTGCTCTTGGAAGGGAAAGGTAGATCCCAGCAGGTGTTAGAGGTAGAATTTTGCCTCCTTCCATGTTCCTTGCTTCAGATTTCCTCTGTTCCTTGAGAAAGCAGATTTACCCTAGGAAAACCAGAAGAGCTTAATGCTTCTGACATTGTCACTAACTTTGCCAGTAAACTGTTCTAGGGGAAAAAAAGAGAATAGTGGGTGGTCAGTGCCTCTCCTGGCTATGTACAGATGGATGAGGGGTATGGCAGGGGTGTGTGAGAAAGCTGGTATCCATTGCTTTAGAAACACTTCAGGATGTACAGTAGGTCAGTCCTTCATGTTTGAATTTTGAGAGAGACAAGTGGGCTCACAAATACAACTTCTCATTCCATTGATCTCAGTGACTGTGCAGCTTTTGCTCAGGGTAGAACACTGCTGGTGCTTCAGCTGGGGGAGAACAGTTGAGAAAGTGTTTAAATACATGTCTCTACCTGATGGATGCTGGTGGTAGTAAACTTGAAGATCATATGAATAATTTTGTTTCTTAAAACTCTGGATTCTGATGAAAGCTGAAGCTTCTGACCAGATGAGATGAGTGATGTGAGGAGGCATTTTGTAGGAACACACTTTTCACGTAGTTTTTGCATAAAGTATGTGGTTTCCATTCAAAACAAAGGAACCACATTCCCAGTAGCAAATTCTCCAGCAATTAGGGCACTTTCATGGAGCTGCTCTTTCACAGAAAGCCCCAGTAGCACGCAAATAAATATTGAAATGATTCAGTTTCCTCTGGAACAAAGTACATATTTTTGAGCTTCCCATCTGGCTTACAAGACATTTGCTGAATAATTTGTGTCAATGTGGCTTTCATGTATTGATCTAAAAATACAAGTGCTAACAAGGTTTGTACTGTGGAGCCCTCTCTTGCTCCTGTGATTCAGTGAATGGAGCTCAGAGCAGCGTTCCAGGACGGATTCAGCTCTGTCACTTGGGGAATCCTGATTTTCAAATGAGCTTATGGATGCACTCAGCAAAGCGGGCTGATAAAACCACAGTCTGTACAAGTTCCATAAACAGTGGATAGTTTTGACTCTCCAGTTGGATCTTGCACATTATGTAGATTTGAAATAATTCAAGTGTCTACTACAGTGAAGAAAAACATGCTGCTGCTTTTCAGCGTGTTGAAATATATGTGTTCTCACAGTGCACTCACTTCTGTTGGGAAAATAGTTTTAAAAGTCCCCTGTTTAATTTGCAAACACTTATTTTGGACTAGTGTTCAATTACTGCAAGGTGAGTTAAAAATGTATAATAATTTTTAAAGCACCTCATCTGAGGGAATTTATTGTCTTCCTTCTCTCCGGGCTTTAAAAGGCATGTGGTTGTTGATGGCCACAGATTGTGTGCATAATAAAGATGGCACAGCCATAACATCCTCTGCTCATTGAGGGAGGCAAATTGCTTTGACTTGCCTGCATTTGCAATAGATGGGATCTTTGGATATTGCTTTTATACAAAAAAACCCTGCAATTAGTGCATATGAATCTGGGCACATAATGTTAATAGCACCAGTACTTGAAAGTAATCCTAATTCTTGAACTGCTTCTCTTTTCAGTGATTGAATTGAGGGACTGAAGTGAGCTCACTGGTCATAAAATGTGAATTTTTATATCATTTTTTGTGTTAGCAGTAATGACAGTATTTAAGAAGCTTCATTTTATTTGAGGGAGTTGGTGGCTTTTTGCAATATCTAATAACATGTTTGTGTAAACTCTGTTGCTTATTTTCACACGTTCTATCTTGTGTTGAAGCCAAACCCGTGTTTGTTAATGTCACAATAACTGAATATCCAGGTGTCATTTGCAAATGTGACCATTGTGATTAAAGAATATTCCATGTAAATTAAATACTTCACTGTCCCCCTTCAAGTTACTTTAACATGTTAGTTCTTTACCCTAAAAGAAAAGACATGGAAACTCCTAATACTATGTAAAAAATGGAATAAAACCCCACACCCCTAAACCTGCTGTTCTTTCCTCTGCCCCCTGAACACAGTCATTTTCTGCATAAGTAAATTCTGGAATGCTTTTGATTTTTAAATGGAGAAAAATACATTCTTGTATACCTTTCAGAGGCAAAGTTTACATCACATTTAACCATTAACTTCCAGCTATAAATTGGTAACAAACGTTCAGTGACTTATTTTTGGAAGTGAAACACTTGTGCTTGATACAAAAGACACCGTGAGGCTCTTAAACTTTGTAGAGGAAATTTCCATGCTGAGCCTGGAACCTGGAGGTTTACAACGTTTGCCTCTGTAGCTTTGCTCAGGGACCATCAGCAACACTGTGTGTACAGCTCATCCAAAGGCTTGTTACTTCTGCCCCGAGGGTGGAGGAAGACAAAAAGATACTGCCTTTGAAAATTTTTCCCTCTGTCCCAGAGGATATGTAAATTATCCCATTTACTATAAATTAGTATTGTTATCCTGCCACAGTTGTGTACAGAATATTGTAGAGTGATCAGCAATTCCAGAATTCTCAGACAGAAGTCTAGACAGGCTGGAGGAGTCTGCTTCTCTTACCTTCTTTCAGAATTTTGGTTTAAAGTGACATTCCTGATCTCAGCTGCTGCTTTGGTCACAAGGATGTACAACTTGAACCCATTTCAATGTTTGATTTCTGAACTCTGGTACCTGTATCATCAGTGCATGACTCTGCATCAGAGCAATATTAATGTGATGTGTTTTGGGGCTTTTTCTTGCAGTGATGCTACAGCCTTTTGACTATGACCCTAATGAGAAAAGTAAACACAAGTTTATGGTTCAGTCTATGTTTGCTCCAGCTGACACTTCAGATATGGAAGCAGTAGTAAGTATTGATATTAATTTAAATAGATTTCTTTCTAACTGTATAATTCTGTAAGTCCTTTTACTGCGTTGCCTGAGGGCTGTTGTCAGTCCACACTGGGATGATCCTTGAAAGCTTTCCCAGATTTCCATCTCTGTGGATTTCAAGGTGTTTTCTGTTTATTTTGAGCCCCAGGAATATTGCACTGAAAGAGACGGTGGCGTGGTTGCTTCCTTGGGAAGCTGCTGTCAGGAATGGGATGCCAAGCCACAAAACAACTAGTTGTAGTTTTTTTTCAATATAACCTTTTTTAGAAAGGCCAACTTGAACTATATATTCTAAGAATACGTAGAATATGTTCTAAGTCTGTGGCATCTTTTATATTTTATGCATCTACTCTCAGTCTCGAGTCTTCCCTTGGGCAGCTGCTTTTCCCAGCAAGAGACAAGAGGATGATTTACAAGTGGTGTATTTTTCTTTATCCCTGCCTATGTCTGCTGTGGCTTTGGCAAATGAAAGGTCCTCGTAGATTTTGTCCCGTGGATTAAAAATGGGAGCAGCAGAAGCAAAGAAAGACAAAAGACATAGAAAGAAGATATCAGGCTACAGGAGGGCAACCTGGAAAGGAACAAACCATTATGTCATCTGCTGCCTTTCCTTTAACAGCAGCATCTGCTACCACAAGAAGGCACAAGGAAGCTTTGGGAGAGCACAGGGTAGCTGTTGAGGACACCATGTAAAAAGGGAAATGGCCATTACCTGAAGTGTGGGACTTGTGTGTGTTTGTGTATGTGTGTTACTTAAAGAAGTAACCCCAGAAAAGCTCAGGGTACATATCATGGCTTTTTAACAGTAGTCTTTACAAGATGGGTCTTCTTCTGAATAGCTTTTTAAGGCTGGGGCACTCTGCAGGGTTAATAATTTCCCTTCTGAAAGAGATTTATGGAACTATATTTGTTTAATGGTCTCAAAATAAGATCCAGTGGGAGAAACAGCTATAGTAATAAAATCTGCATCACTAGAAAGATAAGCCAGTCTGCCTTTCTTTCGAACTCTTTAATTTTTATGAGTTACTTTATACCATGACAAATGTTATTCTGCCGGCAGAGAATGTTTTTAGTACCTAGATGGGCCTTTCAATTTTCCAGAGCTCTCCAGACCCGATACAATTTCTTTTCCTCTAACACTTTGATCAGTTCTCAGTTCTGTTCCCACTCTCCAAAGCTCTTCCCATTCTGGATGAACAGGTGAGCCCAGTTATGGGAGGACTGTAAAGCTTTCAACACTTCCCGAGCAGCCAAGGAGCTCGAAATAGAATTCTGACTTCAGCCCCAGAAGAGCTGGAGTAGGATTCAGCTATTTAGGATGAGTTAAATACTCCTTCAGGTTGCATGGGGTTGGCCATAATTTGACACCTACTTGAGATATGCTGGGAATACCAAGCCACCAGAAGTGTGGTCCCAGTGAAGAGAAGCACGTGAGAACTCCAGGATATGAGTGTGGACACTTCTTGCTGGATATCACTGCTGGGAATAAATCTCTTCACTTCAGGGTTGCAGCTGATACTGAGCAAAGATTTATTACTGTTAATCCCTATTAAAAATATTGCAAGGAAGCTTGTTTATGGTACACTCCCTAGTTGAAGGGGAGAGAAGGTGAGAGGGGAATTATCTCTCTCTGTGTGTAGCACATCTGTTATCGGTCAGACACCGATGCTGAAAAATAAGGAGGTGGAAAACAAGGAAGGGAAAAACAGTCCTGTAGTTTATAACAATTAGGAAAAAAAGCTCGTGTGAAATTTGAAAAGTTTGAATAGGGACTCAGCTGGGCAAAGACTTCAGAACTAACGCTGTGATTGATTTGGGTTTTTGTTATCTTTCCCTTCCTTTGAATTCACCCTTCCTCTTTCCTTTTGTTTTTTTAACCGGGCCCACAGCTCCCCCTATCTCTGCTAATTACTCTGACACAGCTCCCAGTCCTCATAAATTACCTGTGGAGGTTTCAGACTATTTAGAATGATTTGCTTCACAGTGTCTGGTCTGTTTTCACGATGCCAATCAGTCACATATTTGATTTCATTTTTCATCCTGTATGTGGCTAATGGAACATGATAAACACCTGTGGGGTTTTTTTCCCTGAGTAAAATGATGTGATTTGTTTGCATAATACACTGCATTTTCCATCTGCCTTATTATATTGATATGTTTAATACTAAATTAATATTAAATTATTCCAGTGGAAAGAAGCAAAACCAGAAGAACTCATGGATTCGAAACTTAGGTGTGTGTTTGAGCTACCAGCAGAAAATGATAAGCCTGTGAGTATTTTCAGATGCATATGGAGTGATTTAACTTAATACCGCAGTAAATCCTGTAATATGGCATGTTTATGCAGACAGCTCTATAAGCAAAGGACAGAACCCTCTGTTTCACTGCCTGGATGGCATCACCCTTTAAAAACACAGTATAAACTGTTTGAAGTCTTGTTAATCCTTAACGTAGCTGGCAGCTGATTTGAACAGTGTAAGTGCAACAGTAGCACAGAGCAGTCTGAGTCAATCTGTTTTCATTTAGTGAAAGATCACAGGATGAAAAATATTTAAAATAAATATAAAGATGCTGATTGATGGTTGTAAAGCTCAGAGTTTATACTGAATATAGCAGCAATATTATTTGTCTGACCAATGCTCCCCTTTGCTTCTGTGGGACAAATGCTGATTTTAGCAAGTAAATTGGTAGAAAGCTGGTGAGGAAAACACAAATGCAGTTTGGGATTATATTGCAATTAGCAGCTGTAATATTGCAGGATCCTTTTTTGTTAGGGTAATGAACACATTAATTTCTAAGGGAACTGTGTAGTGTCCAGTGTAGAACTGATAATGGTTTGAATAAACTGAGAAATGTTTCCTAATATGCAGGTGCTAAAGGCACAATTGTTCTACCTTGCACTGGACAGCTTGTAATTGGGATTATTTATTGTTTGGGTGGGGAGAGACTGGTTTGGTTTTATGAGGGCCCTTTCCAAAGTGCAGAGCATGGAGAGGATCCAAAAGCAGGAGGGGGAGGAGGGTTTGGAGCTCTGCAGCTTGTTCCCTACCTTGGGTTGCAAGTTCCACCCTCCCCACAGTGCCACAGAAAGAAGGAGAGGTGACAGCCAGGGGGGAGGAGGGAGGAGAGAGGGAACTGCAGCAGGATCCTGGTTCCTGGAGTAGCTGCTGGTGAGGAAAAGGTGAGGAGACCACTGATATCCCATGGGCAGACTGTGAGCAAGTTCCCATTCATCTTGTGAGACCTGGACTGAGGATATTTCCTTTTCTGTGTATGCAGGGACTGGAAAGTCGAGGTCATTCTGTCTGCACTTATTGCTGATTGGTGTTTTCTGTGAGAGCACTAAAGGTTACAGAAAGAAAAATGTTTATTTCTTTTGATACAGGCACGTTTCAGGTGTGCACAGACAATTTTACCTGATCCTCCTCCTAAATATCAGGTGTGTGGTGTGGTGTTAATAACTAACCAAAAATCACTCTGTCCTTTTTTAACAGCATGACATAGAAATAAATAAAATTGTATCCACAACTGCAACAAAGACAGATTCCTCTGTAATGTCTAAATCAATAAGTTCTTCTTTGGATGACACTGAAGTTAAGAAAGTAATGGAAGACTATAAGAGGCTTCAAGTAGAAGTTCAGAGGTTACGGGAGGAGAATAAACAGTTTAAGGTAAAGATATGTGTTGTTTTCTTTTCAGATTTACCCCTTTCCTGAAAAAGAAGCTTTCAACTTAAAGGTTTGGTTCCCTGACCGTAGCACAATATCTGAATATTGTCTATAAAGTAAAAGATAACTTCACTTTTCTCTCTATAAACTGTGGAAAGGTGCTGAAATCAGTGGTTCCTTTGAAAGGAGGTACAAGTGATGCAGTCAGAGAAGCTGATTGAAGGCAACCTGGAGTAATGAATTCCCCCTCTTTTTTTCTTTTCCCACTTAATTTTCTCAGTGTGAATTAATTCAGTGTTGGGTTTGGCCCTGTTCTCCCAAAACCTATGGGAGCTTGAGGGCAGTGTTGTGCAAATACTGAGTGTTTTAATGATTGCACCTGTAATAAGCCACTGAAAAGGCCAAATTAAGACAGATTAATGGGAAATGTGCTCCCTGTCATATCCAGCACATCGCTGGGAAGTTGAGCAGTTGAGCAGCCTTTACCACTGTGCTGAAAAACTCTTTTTGCAGCAGTTTCATTAGTTTTAAGTGTCTGGTTCCATAGATATCAGCACCAATGAACATTTAGATTTTGTGACTATTGCAGCCCAGCTGAAGGAATTCTGTTCTGTCAGCTCTGGCTGATGCATGAAGAAATACTTTAAACCAGTTTTGTTTTGCACAGAAATAACACACATAATACAACAGTAACGTGCCCTTAACTTCTCCTTGTGTTCTTGTTTTGCCAGCAACTCATAACTATAAGTACTGTATGATTTTAGTTAATTTTTTTGCAAGTCAGTCTTGAATAAACACTCTACAGGAGCTATCTAGAATTGAGCTGATGTCTCACAGTAACATCCTGAACTGGTGAGCTCTTTGTCCCCTTTGTGGAGTGCAGAAACATCTGTAAAACATCAGAAAGCAGTGCTAAATCACTGGCAGCTCCCAGGTGCTCTCAGTGTCAGGCCAGAGTCAGTCAGGAGGAAGTTAAAATATTTCAGATGGAAACTTGTTGTTTCTAGCAGTGAAATTACTATATATGTAAACAACATTTTATTTATTTACAGAAGATGGTTGTCCCCGTCCAGACTTAGAGCAGCAGTGGGGTATCAGGTGGCCTGTGACTTAATGAGTAAATAAATAAATTAATTAATAAATAAGTTATCCAGAATGTTCAGGTGTCCCTTTAAATTCAAAAGCAAGAAACACTGACATACCCTGAGCCTTTTGAATTTCACTTATCTACAGTTTTTAAGGCTGCAGTAACTTTTATTCCAATGTTGAGTGGTTTTTTTATGTATAGTCTGGAGGCTTTTGCTTCAGTATCTTATACTTTTGCACTGTAATATTGTATCACATTAAGAAGTCTAACACTTGCTTCAGCTGGACACAAATTAGGTCACAAAAGGCTTCTTTTACCCTCTCCTGAAGTGCTCTGAGTGTGTGTGTGCGTGGACTGGAGTGTGCTAACACTTAGGTGTGCTGCACAACACTTTAGGTAAAGCTGGGGAGCATCATCTCCCCTTGAAATGATAATATTTGGTGGTGTTACATTGTTTTGTCTCATTCATCTTTCAATCAAGTGAGCTGTCAAGCTCGTACCAAGAAAATATCCTAATTATTGCCATTAGTTACGTGTCAAAATGTCAGCATTAGTGTGATGGGGGAAATAGATTTCCCTTCAAAGGCTGGGAAAATTTGCTTGTGATATCTGACATCTGACTGGGGGAATGATGAGTGTAATTGCCTTAGGTTGTGAAAAATATGCAACTTTATCTTAGTTATATTGAAAAATGTTTTCCCCAGGAGCACTTTATGTGCTTACAGGGCAAGAAAAGCATCTTCAGGCCATCCCCTCCATCATTCCTGAGTTCTGAAGCTGTCTCTAGACTTTGGACAGGAATGGCTTCCCCATTCTTCCCCTGTTTTAGCAGGAGGAAACTTCCAAGAGCTTGTGGCTTTTGCTCTACCTCTCAAGTAGATACAGAATTCCTCTCCTACCTCACTAGCCTTCCCTTCTCAAGATTGTTTAGGAACTAGAGCTCTAAATTAGCTGTAAATTACCTTTCACCTATTGTGTAACACCCACCTAAATAAGTATGGTAAAGGGTGAATGTTTGAAGCTTTTTTCATTAATTAATCAATATATCTCCCTTTAGGAAGAAGATGGACTGCGGATGAGGAAGGTACCCCAACCAAACAACCCAATCTCTCCTTCTGCAGCTGCTGTCAAGGATGAAGGGCTCAGCTCCAGACTACTTGCTTTGGTGGTTTTGTTCTTTGTCTTTGGTGTAATTATAGGAAAAATAGCCTTGTAGAGGCAGCATGCTGGAAATTGTAAATTGGTTTGATGGTTCTGCCATATCATTGGATTAAATTTATTCATAACAATGTTTAAAAAAAAAAAAATTAATGTATGACATCTCACAGGTCTTGCCTTTAAATTACCCCTGCACAAATACTATGTAACATAATCTAGAAAGTTTAAAATGTACGATGAGCGAATGAATGAAAGAGAATACGCTTCAGTGATGAGGGGGGGGAGAAAATCCTGATTTAACACTACAATGGAATATTGTATATGTCATTTTAAACATTCTTAGACCCTGGTACATGTTGCTGGATTACCTCTTTTTAAAAAAAAAAAAAAAAAAAAAAAGGAAAACTAGAAAAAAAAAAAAACAAACAACCTCTTCCTCCACTGCTGGAGCTGGCCCTCGGGATGTTTGGAGCTGGGTTAGGCAGGAGGTGTTGATAACTTCTGTAAAATACGTTAATCCACCATTCTGCTCATAAATTTAACAGTTTTCTGTCAGTGTCTTCAGCTCTGTGCAAGTTACCAATTCCTTTGGCACTTACTGAGTAGTGAGAAGCTGCAAAGAGTCGTGTGTGGCCACGCTGAGTGTGCTGGGCAGCACCGAGGGGCTCGTGCTGACGGTGGGACGCGCTTGGGATAAGGGGGCGATGCCTTGCTCTCACCAAGGGACCAAGCTACACTGCTGTTGGTTCATTTAGTTGAATTAAAAATGTTATTCAGAGATGTTTAATGCATATTTGACTTATTTAATGTATTTCATCTCATGTTTCCTTCTTGTCACAAAATCGACTAATCCTACGTGGTGTGAAAAGGCACCTGTTTAAAGCCAGTGACTAGAACTAAAAATTTGCTGCTGTAGTGGTGCAAGATTCTTCTGCCTCCTGGTGTTTTGGGCACTACACAGTTGTTGGGAGTTCTGATCATCTGAGCATTGGGGAAAACAGTGGTCAGGAAACTCGTTTTTGTATGTAAATAAGTCTATCTAGGGGAAAAAAAATATTAGTAGTAAACTAGTCCTATGCCGTAAAAGACCAATCCTGTTTGACTATGTAGCATCTTAAAAAAAAAAAGAAAAAGAAAAGAAAAATTAAATAAAGCCCCCAAATTAATGTTTCCTTTGTTACTTTTGTCCTGTTCTCACAGTTTTAGAGGTGGGGAGGAAACAGTGTTCTCTTGTCAGCTTTGTTTATGGCATAAGGAAACTTTGTTTCAGGGTGATTGGTTTTTTTTTTCCAGACTAATTTTAAGATCAATCCAAACCACCCCAGCAGGAGTCTGGTACACAAAAGTGTTGTTCAGAGTAACCCTGTTGGCTGCTGAGGTACAAGGTAACATCCCACTTTACAGGTTAGTTGGGTTCAGCAGTTAAAAGACACTTGACAGCACATTCAGATTAAGGTGAAGGTAATTTTGTTTCTAAGCTTTTAGCACAAGGTGTGTGAACTCAGTGTGCTTTAACATGATGGATTTGGTAGGTGAAATAGTTTTGGAGGAGGTGAATTCACATATCTTCTTAAATGGTAGACCCAAAAACCAGTGGTGTCAAAATTTTTTGTGAGTATTTCATGATTAAGATAAGCCTTTTAAAAGTGACTTCTGTCATTCCTTCCTTATTGCTGTGATTCCATGAGAAAGCTGTTGGGGCTGCAGCCTGTCTGCTGCACTCCTTGACCTTTATGTTTGTCCCACTTGTGTCTCAAGGGTTTCCTTCTTTGCAAGTGCAAATAAGTGAAATTTTTACTTGAGGCTTAAGAAGAAAATAGGTGGAAAAAAACTATAACCGGTGTGTTCAGCCTGTGAACACGACTCTGGAAGTACTTGTAGAAGATTGAGCAGAAAAGGAGAGGTGTATTTTTAGCATTTTAAAGTGCTGGTGGCTTCTCTGCTCAGGAGGGAAGGGACAGAGCTAGTGCAGCCTTCCTGCAAAGGGCAGGGAAGGTGGGAGTGAGCTGGGAAGAAGGAAGCAGTGAGTTCAGTGGGACACATTGGGCAGAACTTATCAAGACAAAGATACTTTTTGGACAGGATGAGTAAAGAAAACTTTTAAATGAAACACTGTAAAAGAGCCTTTTCAGAAAGACAAGGTTGTAAGTGATGTTGCAAAATTAGTTTCCGTGACTTTGAAGAATGTATTTGAGAAAACCTTTACTGAGCTGTGAAGTAGTTTTTTTTTTCAGAGACTGTATCTTGATCTCACTCTTGTAAGAAAAGCTAAATTCCTGATTTGCTTTAAAAAATAAATTTTTTGAGGGCCCTTTCTGCTAAAAAACAGACTGAAAAAAAGGTTGGTTAAAAAAAAAAATCACTGTCTTTGCAGAGTAAAGGGGAGAGGATCAAAGCTTTGAGCTGGTCTGCTGTGAGTAAATGTGTATTAATATTCAGGTAAATTGTACACACACTGTGAGGAGGCACAGGGCAAAGGCAGCAGCACGTGTGTCCTCCTCCAGTGTTCAGTGGTCACTTCTTAGTGATCTCTGACAGCCTGGGACTTTAAATCATCCATGAGCAAAGTTGTCCTGGTGTTTTGCACTCCAGGATTATAAAGAGGTCCCAGAAAACACTCTCATGCTTTGCCAGATTCCCTAAAAACACGTGATCAAGGAGACCAGCAGAGGATCTGTTGGTAAAGACTGTAACCTGCAGTTGGGGCTGACCCACATCGTCGGTCCTAAACAAGACTCTGAATTTAACTGCTTATCTTTTGGAATTTAATGAAATTCTGAGGTCTTCCCTCACCATTTCTGACAGCCCTGAATTGTCTGGGTGACGCTTTGCTTTTGCTGAGCTTAAAATAAAATAGCTGATCAGTGGGATCCCCACTGCCTGTCTGTCTGACCAAACCCTTCTGTCATAGGCAGTAGAAAGAAATGATAAGTACTTCTTTTCTTCATAAAAGGCCAGTCTGTAGATACAGTGCAAAAATATATTGGATAGATGTTCTTAAATCACCTGGACCTTTTGTAAGTCTTTCCTTCCATGACAACACCAGAGCAAATGTTTTCATTAAGTATTCATATTTTGGAGGACATTGTACATCTTAGGAAGTTATGCATGAAACACAGGGTTTCTAAATAAGATTATTGTCTGGGGTCCTCACACAACAACAGATGTTAGAAAACTGTGATTGATACATGATAGTAGAAATCAAGTTATTGCTAATCTAGTTATTGTCCTTGCTGTTATTTTAAGATGACCACTTGCACATACATTTATTGCTAATTTTTTTAAGAGCCAGTAGAGGCTGCTTGGTGCACTCCTCGGGCAAATTTGATATGAATAGGTGTACAAAATATCTTGAAGCCTAGTGCTGGGAAACGAGTGGAAAATGGTTTCTACTATTTTTATGTAGTTATCCACATCTTAAGGCAAATACTGTGTGCATGAATGATCGTAAGTATTGCTGTGCATTGGCAGTTGTCAGCTGGGACTGCACAGCTGGAACATGTGGGAGCCAGAACCCAACTCAGGTTACTGTGGAATAGCCCTTGGGGTTGGAGAACAAGATCATGCCATGTCTGTCATGTTGAGGGGGATTGATGTACCATAATGTCATTTTCTAAAAATACAGGATTGTAATAGCTTGATGGTGGTATTCCATGTGACTTTTTCCTCCTGAAATGCTGTTAGTGGGATAAAGTTGGAACTTCACTTTGCAAATCACTATAGAGTTTCTTGTCACCAATAAACTCGGAAGGGTTTCTATTCTCTGCACATGTGAACTTGCAGTTCTTGTCAGCGTGTTTGCATCGTGGTGTGCACAGAGTGGATCATTCACCTCTCAAGATACTTGAGGCTGCAATTCCCCACTGGAAGAAAACTATCATCCCTTTTCTTCAAAAAATTAATTTTCTCTTAATTGGAACGTCCTTAATTCCCAGGCACAGTAGTGACTTAACTGTAGTACTCTTAACTTTAGAAACAATGCTTCTCTTGCTCTGCGTGGTGACCTGAAATACCATGTCCTGAGTTCTGCTTTCCATATAAAGGAACTGAGAAAAAAACACAGCCAAAAATCCCTCTGTTTGAAATGAAAACCCATGTAAAAGAACACTCTGAACCTCCTGTTTGTTGTGGCTGGGTCACAGCTGCACTAGGACTGCACAGCAGCGAGGAGGCCTGGAGAGCTGCTGTTCCATGGATTGGGAATGGCTGAGCATCCACTGCCCAAATCCTCAAGTGAGCAAGTTGAGATGGGACAGGTGGTGAGTGGAGTTCAGTGTATGTATTTGAGCTTTTGTTTTTGAAGTCAGAAACACTAATACAAACAGAAGGTCATGTGTAGAGTGAGACTAGTTCAGTACCGTCTGTGTAGGTGACTGTTCTTTGGAATCAGACACGTCTGCAAACCTAATTTACTAATTAGAAAATATCTGTACAAAGCAGTGTTTAGGCATTTTAGAGACAAAAGGACACACTGAGCAAGGCTATTTGTTTTACAGTGAAACCTTGTTCTCAAACTCAGCTTCATGAAGAGCTGACAGGGGGATCCAGTGCTGGTATAAATCATCTGTTACAGTTAGATAAATCATGGCATTTATTGTTCTAGCAGGGCAATACTGATCCTTTAACCATGTCCAATTAAGTTTTTATATTACTCTGACAGCTCCATGTATTCTGATCACTTTGTCCAATGTGTGTCAGTGCAACAGTGACACTTCTCATTGTGCTGCTCCTCACTTTTATTTTGATAAGCTTCAGAGAACAAAGTAATTGTGTGTTTCCACTGCTCAGCTATAAAATTTGTTTGTTTTATTAATGGGTTGATTTTTTTTTTAACTGGATAATTGAAGATTACTTTTAAAATAACCCAAGTAAGAGCCAGCCAGGAATCTCTTGCACATCCTATTCTAATGAGCACAGACCTGCACACTTGCAAAGTGACCATGGGCCTGTCATTCATTCCGCTGCTCCCTGTGGCTTCATTTCCTGCTAAAGAACTACTTTCATGTTTCTACTTGAAGAGTAAAACTTTTTGAAACCTTTCCTAAACTTCCACATAGATCTCTTTGCCTCCCAGCCCAGGCCTGAGTTTGTCCCGAAGCCTCTGTGTGAGTGGAAGTACAAAAGGAACGCGGGGCCTGCGAGCGCAGAAACAAAGCTGCTTTTCCTTGAAGCAAACTTGAACTTTGGATCTTTTCTCCTGTGATCTGTCATTAGAAAATGGCCTTTTCCAGATGGCAAAACAAAAGAAGTTAAGAAAACAAATGAATTAAGAAGAATTAATTGAAGCTGCCTATTACAAGTTGACATTATCCATCTGGCATTTCTGTTTATGTTTCTGCATCGGTACATTTCATTCTGATTTAATAAGTTCCTAATTTTGTGGGGAGTTTTTTTAAGATTTCGAAGTGCCTATGAGGAACAGCCCGTAGTGAAGTATTGTTCCCAGTTTAGCTGTACATTTTTTTAATCAAATCTTTTTCTTTAGTGGATAAACTCACAAGATTAGAAAAGCCTCTTGAACTCCCTCATGTTTGAGTTGGCAAATTTCCTACACACAATTATCCACACAGAGCTACTTCTAAAAGACCTTTATTAAGGCTCTACAAAGTCAAGCACTCAGGAATTAGGAAATGGCAGAACCAGGTTTGTGCACTGGTAGTTTGGCCACTCTGTGTGAGGACAGTGCAGTATCTGGTCAGTACCTGGTCAGAAAGTGAGATGAGGCTGCTCAGAAGTTGTCTAAAACTCCCAGCTTTGTGTGCCTGGCCATATAGAGGCTCTCTTAAGTATA